TACTCAAAGAATCATATTTGCAAACAACATTATAATGTTACCTCTTAACTCTGGGCCACAAGTCCAAAGCATATTCAGCTCAACCATAAACACCAATCTATCTTCAGGCTACGTGTTTGACTGCTCTGATTCCTCTCTCTGTCCTTGTTACTAATGAGTGCACCCGTGAACCGATGCACCCTGTAACCTGGGTCTGATTCCTATAATTAGGCCAATTGCACTTGCACTCTTCATTTGACTTCCATTCAGCCAGGCTGGAGGAAAAAACGTAGAGAAAAAGCTTTAAGCTGCAGCAGGCAGCACACCCACAGGGTAATCAGGACCTGCATGGCGCTGGAGAAATGAGTTCATACGGAGTGGCCATCCCTATTTGGATCTCATTTGGCTGTGTAATGGCTGATAGTAAGACACTAGCCACAGAGGTGTAAAGCTGGTTAATCATCTCTGAAGGAATGCAAGGAAATAAAGAAAGTAGGCATCTCCTAGTAGCACAGTTACAGTATCTTTTAAATACCAAAAGTGCCAAAAAGGAGGAATAATGCACATTTATGTTAAAGAACTGCTGAGGTTTTGTGTTTTGTAGCCACTAAATGTTGAGCCAGTACTGACAAAAATGGTGTTGTCAAACCTGAGGAAAAACAAGAAAATCGGATGATCTTTTCAGTAAAATATTAACCGGGACACTTGTTGCTCTGTTTCTAAACTGGCTGTTCGGAGCCTGTGGACCACCTGTGTCCCTTTGTCTCTGCTGCTGCGTTTTTGTTTTTGTCTCACTGACTGAAAATGTCAGACGTGACTGCCTCCTGAACCCACTCATCTGCGGCTCTGACCCTTTCAACTGTGGTCCAGTCAGGCCGACCAATTCCCCTCTTTCTATCAGGTTTATTTTGGATGTTACAATGAGGGATGAAGAGTTTTTATGTTTGTTTTCTGTTTCCACTATCTTGCCTGATACCAATTTTTCCAGTGGATGCTTTTGCAGAGCTGAATGAGCTTTAGGGATAGAGCAGTATGGGGTAGCAAGAAAGGTTCATATTTCCACATTTCTGTCTCACTGGATTAAGTCAATTGGTTCTGATAATGCACATCCTGAGCAAACACTGACCTCTTCCTCAACTCTGTCACAAAAAAACCCCAGCAGCTGTCAGGAGAAAATAAATACAAGGAGGAGGCAAAAAAACTCAATTTGTGAAGGATTATCACTGGAAGCAAACAGATTTATGTGATTGCAAACTCCATTTATATATGATTCACTTTGTTTGGTTGGTTTGTTTGAGTTTTGACTTCTTCAGAGACAATATACCAAAGTTGGATTCACACACACATACAGCCATACACAAAGTTATAAAGAGTGAAATGTGTGCGGTGTTCGAGAGGACACACTGGTAGAAAACTACAAACTGAATTACATTTTTTGGCACACAGAATCAATCACTTATACTTCCTGCTAGAACAATAAAAAAACCAATCATGCCTTTCAAGGTGGGGGTGAATTATTATTCACTGTCTCATCGTGACTGTACCTCACCATCACTGAAAAGATTCATCACTGTGTTTCTATTCTGACATGGAGGGAGCAAAGGAGAGGCTGAAAAGAAGTGTAGAAGAAGAAAGGATGAAGAGGAAGAG